AATTGGGCGTCTCAGCAGGTCCACCAAACCTCCGCCTGACCCTCATCAATCTGCTCCTCCTGTGGGTGGAGGGTCGTTTCGACTGATCCCGATTTTGGCTCGATGAGTGACAGGACGTTGGTGGGTGGATGGATCCTTCAGGCACACTCTCGACCGTTTTAGTTTGCGACAGCAACCCTCACTCTAAAGCCAGTCCTCCACCTGCTGCACCTCACAGAGGACCTCCACGTCAAAGGGAGGACTGCAGATACCCACTGCAGTCTGAGACGGAGGACTTGGAGTCTGTCCCAGTGTGCACTGAGAGTCTGGAGGTTTAGAAAAGGTCAAAGTGGGGAAAATCTGCAGCTCTGGAGGAATAAACTCAGCAGCTTTGTGATCTCTGTGCTCTTCGCATGAGACAAAAAGGACGACGACTCACAGCGTCGTGGGAAACATCTGGGTTTAAACAGAAGTCTTATTGGGTAAACACCTCCGAGCTGGAGGGAATCATCGTTTCCCTGAAATCATCTGCTCGGGGGAACGAGTTCCTGGCACTCTCTCCATCCTGTTTTCCCAAATTAAATGTTCCAGAAGGTCAACAGCCGTGTCAGAGTCTTCTCAGACACACCGACTCCAGCTGTTAAACATCCTAATCTGTGTGTGTGTTTGGACACGGCTCGGGGTGAACGAACATGGAGCTGCGAGCAGAGCGGCGTGTTTACCCGTACACAGCCGCTCTGCCACAGGACTCATTAAAATTTGATCTGATCTAATGTTTTGCTTTGCTCGACTTCTCGACTCTGCTTAAAAAAAATCCTTTCCTTCTTTAGAGTCTCTCTCTTCCTCTCTCTGCTCTCGGGTATATTCATTTGGTCACTATGATGAGTGACCTTTGACCTCACTCAAAGGTCACTCAGGTGTGTAACCTGAAATAGAAACTAAGAGCAGCTTTTTGTTTTGTAAAGGCTGAAGATTGAAGTGATATTACAACATAAAGGAAATGAAGAAACACGAACGTTACAGTCTGATGTTTGGTTGACACATCCACCAACCCCACCTCCTCCTCCACCTACAGGGAGCTCTTTGAGGTTTTGCTGAGACCTTTGAACTCTTCCAAACTTCAGACCGTCACAGCCAGATTAAAAAAGCTGAAACGACAGCCTCACAAAGCTCATGAGCCCAACAGGAAGTGTGTCCATCGTTGTTTTCATCGATTGGTTCTGATCTTCTGACAATCTTCTCGTTGGGGATGATTCTTCGTTTTCACACTTGCTGATGCTGTTACACTAATATGATTATGATGGATTTCTTTTTGCCACAGTCAAAAATCGGAGGCACTACCAAAGCGTTGTGTAATGTTGTTTATAACTCCAGAAATATTCTAAAATCACAATAATTTATTTCCTTCTCTGGAAGCTGCAAACTTTCGTTCAGCCGGCGGTCCGTAAAGCGCCTCGTGTTTCCATCCGTCTGTGGTAACTGCAGCTTAATGCCAGCTCTGCAGTTTATTACATAAACCATGTGTATTTACTCTACATGTGTGTCCGTGTGTGTGGGCGCTCATATGTGCATGTGTGGCGGCGGCGTTTGGCGCCATGGGAACAGGCATATGGTGCTGATCGCATGCTAGGAAGGTCAGCTCCGACGAGAGGAAAAAGGAAGAGACGGAAGCTGAGACGGAGGCAAGTTTTGGACGCATTTTCAGAGTGACGCTCGAGAGAAGAAAGATGGAGGTGTTGTGTCTTAAAAATCATTAGACTGATCTCCAACGAAGGGGCAGCGGCAGGTACGCCCACTGCAGGGCGACTGGATAGGTCACATGACCTTTAGTCAGAAGGATGACAGACGCCTTCACGTTTCTCTCAGGTCCACAGAGAGATTGAAGATTTTACTCATTTTACTGCAGCGTGTGGCATTGATCAATAAATCAGTAAAAAGCTGTTTCAAAGCTTTGGTATAATATAAGAAAGTATCTTTATGAAGCTCAGCAAACCTAATAGAACAAAAGACAATGATAAAATCAGTGTAAGAAAAACCAATCAGTGCAAATATCAGGATGTTATTAAAGTGACTTTTTATGTATTTATTTGATCGAATGGCCGACCTGGACTTTATGACATGTTGCATTTCAGTGATCAGGAAAGTATCACTGACTAAACCTGGGTCGAGTCAGAGCTAGGCTGAAGCTGGAAGATGCTTCCTTTCAAATCAAGTCTCTAACACTTCCTTTGTTATAACATTTCTTTTAGTGTTTGCCAAACAGGTCAAAATGACCTATGAGGAAGTGGATCTGAACCTGATGCTGACCCCAAACAGGTCACAGAGGAGGAGGAGCTTAAAAAGATATCAGAAGTTATTGGAAATGGGAAGAGTTCAGTACATTTAAGTCATTGGTGTTTGTGAACATAAGCAGTTAAAACATGGACGTAGTTTCTAGGTTTGAAGGCGATACCTGTGGTCGGGCTTCAGAAAGGAGGATTATCCAGGGTAGGCTCGTTGGATAATGACTTTAAATTGACACGTCGTTAGCCAATGAGTGTTTGGTGTCACCGTTAAATTCCCCTCCAATTTCAAAACACTGATATGGGGAAAACACTCACCTCGAGACTTGAGAACAGGATGCAGTAACCCAGAGGGTGGCGTCCTCTACGTCCATCGCTGATGCTGAACAAGAAGCTTTTTAGTTTCTGGTCTTGCAAAGATTGTTGCTGGCCTGGACTGTGGAGGTGAACCTGCTCAGCAGCTACCTCCAGCTTAGTCTGTGTGGTTTAAGATGAGGTAAGATGCCCTTATTCGTCACAGAGTTGTTCACATTGTCACAGCAGCAGAGTGGACAGGGCAGTATATATTTATGCTGTTAGTGCAATAACTAAGTGTTGTCATCAGTAAAGCTCACACAGACATCCAGAAAGTAATTTATGAATTACAGATTCCACGTTATTAAAACATGTAATAGAAACAAAAGAGGACCCGAAACGCTGCCCTGAGGGACTCCACATGTCAGATGTTAACTTCTTGATCATTTGTCCTTGAAGCCTTGACCGTCTGAGGACAAATATGAGGCAAACCATTTCAGGTTGGACCCACACTGACCTCCCATCATTAAACTGATGCTTGTTTTCCTCTCTTTGCCCCTCAGGCTTAATGTTTCAGTTCACAGAAGTGTATTAATATCTATGACGCTGACAGTAAAGCCCACAAACACATTAAAGCTCCACAGAGAGGACGTCTGTTCTGGTCTTTGCATAACCTTTCCTTTAGCGCCAGTTTTCAAACAAATTATGAACAGTGTGTACAAGACAAATCATGGTCGAGCTGCCGTGACCTTTACCGAATATATTAATGCTCCTCTGAGGAAGAATTTGTTGATTTGTCAGCTTTTATTCTATCTTTGTTTGGTACTGTCTGGCGTGATGAACGGTGAAGCCTGTGGGCGATTCAGGCTGTGTCACCTCAGAGTAATACCTCTCGACTCCATCATCCTGTTAAAGTCAGAATAACCTTGAGATGTGTTTTCTGGAAGAAACAGGTTTGTGTGTGTGTGTGTGTGTG